ATATACCCCTTTTAGTGACCCCTGTCTGTTATACACCCCTTTTAGTGCCACCCTGTCTATTATATACCCCTTTTAGTGCCCCTGTCTGTTATATACCCCTTTTAGTGACCCCTGTCTGTTATATACCCCTTTTAGTGCCCCTGTCTGTTATATACCCCTTTTAGTGACCCCTGTCTGTTATGTAACCCTTTTAGTGACCCCTGTCTGTTATATACCCCTTTCAGTGCCCCTTGTTTGTTATATACCCCTTTCAGTGTCCCTTGTTTGTTATGTACCCCTTTCAGTGTCCCTTGTTTGTTATATACCCCTTTCAGTGTCCCCTGTCTGTTATATACCCCTTTCAGTGTCCCTTGTTTGTTATATACCCCTTTCAGTGTCCCTTGTTTGTTATATACCCCTTTCAGTGCCCCTTGTTTGTTATATACCCCTTTCAGTGTCCCTTGTTTGTTATGTACCCCTTTCAGTGCCCCTTGTTTGTTATATACCCCTTTCAGTGTCCCCTGTCTGTTATATACCCCTTTCAGTGTCCCTGTCTGTTATATACCCCTTTCAGTGCCCCTTGTTTGTTATATACCCCTTTCAGTGCCCCTTGTTTGTTATATACCCCTTTTAGTGCCCCTGTCTGTTATGTAACCCTTTTAGTGACCCCTGTCTGTTATATACCCCTTTCAGTGCCCCTTGTTTGTTATATACCCCTTTCAGTGCCCCTTGTTTGTTATGTACCCCTTTCAGTGCCCCTGTCTGTTATACACCCCTTTTAGAGCCCCTGTCTGTTATATACCCCTTTCAGTGCCCCTTGTTTGTTATGTACCCCTTTTAGTGACCCCTGTCTGTTATATACCCCTTTCAGTGCCCCTTGTTTGTTATATACCCCTTTCAGTGCCCCTTGTTTGTTATGTACCCCTTTCAGTGCCCCTGTCTGTTATACACCCCTTTTAGAGCCCCTGTCTGTTATATACCCCTTTCAGTGTCCCTTGTTTGTTATGTACCCCTTTCAGTGCCCCTTGTTTGTTATATACCCCTTTTAGTGACCCCTGTCTGTTATGTACCCCTTTTGAGTGCCCCTTGTTTGTTCTGTACCCCTTTTAGAGCCCCTGTCTGTTATATACCCCTTTCAGTGCCCCTTGTTTGTTATGTACCCCTTTCAGTGCCCCTGTCTATTATATACCCCTTTTAGTGCCCCTGTCTGTTACATACCCCTTTCAGTGTCCCTTGTTTGTTATATACCCCTTTCAGTGCCCCTTGTTTGTTATGTACCCCTTTCAGTGCCCCTGTCTGTTATACACCCCTTTCAGTGCCCCTTGTTTGTTATGTACCCCTTTCAGTGCCCCTGTCTATTATATACCCCTTTTAGAGCCCCTGTCTGTTACATACCCCTTTCAGTGTCCCTTGTTTGTTATGTACCCCTTTCAGTGTCCCTTGTTTGTTATGTACCCCTTTTAGTGCCCCTGTCTGTTATATACCGACTTTAGTGACCCCTGTCTGTTATGTACCCCTTTTAGTGCCCCTGTCTGTTATATACCGACTTTAGTGCCCGTCTGTTATATACCCCTTTTAGTGACCCCTGTCTGTTATGTACCCCTTTTTGTGCCCCTGTCTGTTATATACCCCTTTTAGTGACCCCTGTCTGTTATGTACCCCTTTTAGTGCCCCTGTCTGTTATATACCCCTTTTAGTGACCCCTGTCTGTTATGTACCCCTTTTAGTGCCCCTGTCTGTTATATACCCCTTTTAGTGACCCCTGTCTGTTATGTACCCCTTTTAGTGCCCCTGTCTGTTATATACCCCTTTTAGTGACCCCTGTCTGTTATGTACCCCTTTTGAGTGCCCCTTGTTTGTTCTGTACCCCTTTTAGTGCCCCTGTTTGTTATGTACCACTTTCTGCATAGCATGTTGGAGAATGAGTCCCCTGACCACTCATTCCTAGGACATTTATTACTTCCAAAGATGATTTCTGTAGGACAAACAAATATAGGATTAACATCTAAGCGATCGAAGACAGCTAATGTTTTATTCACCAACCAATTCACCAATATAAACAGCCGCAGTACATGTGTTGAGTTGATGTGACACATCGGGGCATACATGTAGGGCATTGTCTTCACATGCACGCACCGCGGTCCTCGGCAGTCCTCAGTTCAGTGAAAATAGATTCTTTGATTGCAATCAAAAGCGCCTAATGATGGAAAGCGTGGCGTCCACGCAGATGTTTGGTAAGTGTGTATAGCAGCATCTGTGTTCTGGATAGCAATGTATAGACCAAGGAGAAGTGAGTAGGCTGGTTCAAACAGACGGACATTTTCAGTGTGACGCACTCAGGCATCAATGTTGTAATGAGCAGAGGTGGCATGGGTGCCCCAGTCATCTAAGGCACCACAATTCATCATGGGCATGCCAGAAATCTATGGAAAGACAAGATAGTTTATAGATGATAATTGTTTTATTCTGTTATGAAGTGACGTGTCAAAATAGATCCTTATGCCGTTGTCAAGCAAGAGTGAAGACAGAACAGTGAAACGTCACATCATAACAGAATAGAGAAGTTGTCATCCATCTTTACTATTACTTAACAACTTCTAAAATGCCAGTGAAACAGTTCCGAAACTTGTGATCATGGGTTTGATTCCTGGTTCGCTCCGATTATGTTTCTAGATTGGTCAGCATCCTTGCTCGTAGGTTTCACCAAAGTGGTAAACTTCTGAGACCTGCCTCACTTTGGGCGTTCCTCTTTCCTCCCACATTAATTTGACACAGCGTGATGTAACTGGAATTCTGTTAAAAGTGGCGTTAAACCCAACTAACTGACTCAAATACACAGGCCTCTTGTGAAGTGGAATCAGTAGCTTCTTATATCACTTGAAACATTATCTTGTCGTTAGAGAGTCTCTGAGCAGTCAGGCAGCAGGGTTGGTGTCTCGCCACTGGTAATGAGTCTTAATAAGTCGCACATACCATGGTGACATGAAGTATAGATGGAGTTGTACATAATGAATTACAGAGGCTGATGTCAGATAATTTTGTAATGGCCCAGAATGAGAAGTACAGCAAGCGGGATCACCTAGTATTTGACAAGTGGGATCACCTAGTATTTGACAAGTGGGATCACCTAGTATTCGAGAAGTGGGATCACCTAGTATTTGACAAGTGGGATCACCTAGTATTTGACAAGTGGGATCACCTAGTATTTGACCAGTGGGATCACCTAGTATTTGACAAGTGGGATCACCTAGTATTTGACGAGTGGGATCACCTAGTATTTGACGAGTGGGATTACCTAGTATTTGACCAGTGGGATTACCTAGTATTTGACGAGTGGTATCACCTAGTATTTGACAAGAGGGATCACCTAGTATTTGACCAGTGGGATCACCTAGTATTTGACAAGTGGGATCACCTAGTATTTGACAAGTGGGATCACCTAGTATTTGACAAGTGGGATCACCTAGTATTTGACAAGTGGGATCACCTAGTATTTGACAAGAGGGATCACCTAGAATTAGAAATATATATTAGTCAATATTGGGTAATATTGAATATATGTTTGCAAGTAATAGTGTGTATATTAGCCTGGACTGTAGAGTTTATTAGCCTGGGTACTAGTGTTTATCGGCCTGGATAACACTGTTAATTAGCCTGGGTACTAGTGTTTATCGGCCTGGATAACAGTGTTTATTAGCCTGGACTGTAGTGTTTATTAGCCTGGGTACTAGTGTTTATTGGCCTGGATAACAGTGTATGTTAGCCTGGACTGTAGTGTTTATTAGCCTGGGTACTAGTGTTTATCGGCCTGGATAACAGTGTATGTTAGCCTGGATAACAGTGTATGTTATCCTGGACTGTAGTGTTTATTAGCCTGGGTACTAGTGTTTATCGGCCCGGATAACAGTGTATGTTAGCCTGGACTGTAGTGTTTATTAGCCTGGGTACTAGTGTTTATCGGCCTGGATAACAGTGTTTATTAGCCTGGACTGTAGTGTTTATTAACCTGGGTAATAGTGTTTATTAGCCTGGGTACTAGTGTTTATTGGCCTGGATAACAGTGTTTATTGGCCTGGATGGTAGTGTTTTGTAACCTGGACTGTAGTGTTTATTAGCCTGAGTAATAGTGTTTCTTGACCTGGATAACAGTGTTTCTTAGCCTGGATAACAGTGTTTATTGGCCTGGATGGTAGTGTTTTGTAACCTGGACTGTAGTGTTTATTAGCCTGAGTAATAGTGTTTCTTGACCTGGATAACAGTGTTTCTTAGCCTGGATAACAGTGTTTATTGGCCTTGATAACAGTGTTTCTTGGCCTGGGTAACAGTGTTTATTAGCCTGTGTAACAGTGTTTCTTGGCCTGGATAACAGTGTTTCTTAGCCTGGATAACAGTGTTTATTGGCCTGTGTAACAGTGTTTCTTGGCCTGGATAACAGCATTTCTTGGCCATGATAACAGTGTTTCTTGGCCTGGGTAACATTGTTTATTAGCCTGTGTAACAGTGTTTCTTGGCCTGGATAACAGCGTTTCTTGGCCATGATAACAGTGTTTCTTGGCCTTGGTAACAGTGTTTATTAGCCTGTGTAACAGTGTTTCTTGGCCTGGATAACAGTGTTTCTTGGCCTGGGTAACATTGTTTATTAGCCTGTGTAACAGTGTTTCTTGGCCTGGATAACAGCGTTTCTTGGCCATGATAACAGTGTTTCTTGGCCTTGGTAACAGTGTTTATTAGCCTGTGTAACAGTGTTTCTTGGCCTGGATAACAGTGTTTCTTGGCCTGGGTAACAGTGTTTATTAGCCTGTGTAACAGTGTTTCTTGGCCTGGATAACAGTGTTTATTGGCCTGGGTAACAGTGTTGTTTAGTCTGGGTAACAGTGTTTATTAGCCTGGATAAAAGTGTTTATTAGCCTGGTTATTTGTTTATTGGCCTGGATAACAGTGTTTATAGGCCTGGATAACAGTATGTATCAGCCTTTGATGTTTGATCACAGATGCTCAGTTCAGTTTTCCCTATGTTTCAGTTGAGCCAGATCCTGGGCCACAGCGACCAGCTGTACATCCGCCTGCCTCAAGGTCTGCGAGTATGGCAGTGTATGCTGGCTGCAATGTTCACCATCATCGCCCTCTGGGTAAGTAAACAGGGCCAGACAACGGATAGGTAGCATACTGGTGAAAGTGGCCACTCCTCAGTGACAGGTTGGATTCTGTACAAGGGCATACTGTTTGAAGGTGTTTGTGTGCGCAGTGCTGCTAGAGGCTTGGGAGAACTGCCTCTGGAGGACAGCCTCTGTATGATGGCCTATGCAGGACAGCCCCTGTAGGCCGGCCTCAGGCTGACAGACTCTGTAGGACGGCCTCTGGAGGACAGCCCCTGTAGGACGGCCTCAGGCGGACAGACTCTGTAGGACGGCCTCTGGAGGACAGCCCCTGTAGGACGGCCTCTGGAGGACAGACTCTGTAGGACGGCCTCTGGAGGACAGCCCCTGTAGGACAGCCTCAGGCGGACAGACTCTGTAGTACGGCCTCTGGAGGACAGACTCTGTAGGACGGCCTCAGGCGGACGGCCTCTGGAGGACAGACTCTGTAGGACGGACTGGAGGATGTACTCTGTTTGACTGCCCCTGGAGGACGGCCCCTGTAGGACGGCCTAGAGGATGTCCTCTGTTGGACTGCCCCTGGAGGACGGCCTCTGGAGGACGGCCCCTGTAGGACGGCCTAGAGGATGTCCTCTGTTGGACTGCCCCTGGAGGACGGCCTCTGGAGGACAGACTCTGTAGGACGGACTGGAGGATGTCCTCTGTTGGACTGCCCCTGGAGGACGGCCTCTGGAGGACAGCCCCTGTAGGACGGCCGGGAGAATGTCCTCTGTTGGACTGCCCCTGGAGGACGGCCTCTGGAGGACAGCCCCTGTAGGACGGCCTGGAGGACGTCCTCTGTTGGACTGCCCCTGGAGGATGTCCTCTGGAGGACAGCCCCTGTAGGACAGCCTCTGGAGGACAGCCCCTGTAGGACGGCCGGGAGAATGTCCTCTGTTGGACTGCCCCTGGAGGACGGCCTCTGGAGGACAGCCCCTGTAGGACGGCCGGGAGAATGTCCTTTGTTGGACTGCCCCTGGAGGATGTCTTCTGGAGGACAGCCCCTGTAGGACGGCCTGGAGGACGTCCTCTGTTGGACTGCCCCTTGAGGATGGCCTCTTGAGGACAGCTCCTGTAGGACGGCCTCTGGAGGACAGCCTCTGTGGGATGGACTCTGGAGAATGGCCTCTGTTGGACAGCCTCTGTTGGACAGCCTCTGTTGGACTGCCTCTTGAGTATGGCCTTTGTAGGAAAGCCTCTCTTGATGACCTCAGCCACTCACCTTCACTCACTTCTTTCTGCACTTGTGTTGTTTTGTTGTGTTTCTCATTCTCCAAGAGATCATATTTTAATGCCAACTCGAAAACTTTTTTATGTCTCGTATGTCTCAAAACACATCAAACATTAAAGAATGATGACCCTTTAGAATGGTGCATGCTAGGCCTGGGATGAGTCCAAACTTACTTCCCAGGTACCCACCCCTCTATAACCTGACCCTACCCGGATACTCGCTGTAGGTCTCAAGAGATAGGTACTGAATGGCTGGTTGGGAATAGTTTGGCCGTAGCCCTGGACAATATGTATTTAGATACACGTATAAAACAATCTGGTCATACATACACTGAAGTTGACTGAAGTTTTATCTTTATACAAAAGTAAAAGTCAGAAGGAATGGGTGCAGCGTCAGAAAGAAATGTGAATATTTGTGACTTATAGTGTAACCATATAGTTTTAGATCATATTTGTCATTAAACAATATATTACATGACTAACCACGGGTCCAGGTAGTCCTGTGGGTACCCAGGTGTTTCTCAGTGCCCACCAGACCCGAGTTTTGTTTTATTTCTGTCCATTATGTCCACCTGGATTGATCTAAGACTGCACAAAAATAGAACTTGTTTTTGTATAGTGATGGTATGTGATGTTGCTGTATGGTGTTGCTGTAGGGTGTTGCTGTAGGGGTGTTGCTGTAGGATGTTGCTGTAGGGTGTTGCTGTAGGGGTGTTGCTGTAGGATGTTGCTGTAAGGTGTTGCTGTAGGGTGTTGCTGTACTATGTTGCTGTAGGGGTGTTGCTGTAGGATGTTGCTGTAGAGGTGTTGCTGTAGGATGTTGCTGTAGGGTGTTGCTGTACGATGTTGCTGTAGAGTGTTGCTGTACGATGTTGCTGTAGGGTGTTGCTGTATGATGTTGCTGTAGGGTGTTGCTGTAGGGTGTTGCTGTACGATGTTGCTGTAGGGTGCTGCTGTATAATGTTGCTGTAGGGTGTTGCTGTACGATGTTGCTGTAGGGTGTTGCTGTATGGTGTTGCTGTATGATGTTGCTGTAAGGTGTTGCTGTAGGGTGTTGCTGTAGGGGTGTTGCTGTATGGTGTTGCTGTAAGATGTTGCTGTAAGGTGTTGCTGTAGGGTGTTGCTGTAGGGGTGTTGCTGTAGGATGTTGCTGTTTGATGCTACTGTTCATTGTTTCAGGCCCTGGTGTTTCCGGCTCATCTGTTCGACATCTCCTTTGAGACGGAGGAGGGAAAATACCTGACACTTCCAGTTCGTCTCTACGGCGCTGCATTGCTCAGTAAGTTAGGGTAGCTATCACCTTGAAAATAAGCCTACGTATACCACGATACATGAAACACTGGTCGGCCTTTGCTTTTAACTGACTGTCTTGTAATGACCGGTCCTTTATAACTGACTGTCTTGTAATGACCGGTCCTTTATAACTGACTGTCTTGTAATGACCGGTCCTTTATAACTGACTGTCTTGTAATGACGGGTCCTTTATAACTGACTGTCTTGTAATGACCGGTCCTTTATAACTGACTGTCTTGTAATGACAGGTCCTTTATAACTGACTGTCTTGTAATGACCGGTCCTTTATAACTGACTGTCTTGTAATGACCGGTCCTTTATAACTGACTGTCTTGTAATGACCGGTCCTTTAAAACTGACTGTCTTGTAATGACCGGTCATTTATAACTGACTGTCTTGTAATGACCGGTCCTTTAAAACTGACTGTCTTGTAATGACCGGTCATTTATAACTGACTGTCTGGGAGTCACAAAGTTTATCATTAACACAAGAGGATGAGTTGTTTCATTTCCTGCTCATCTTCCTACTCTGTTTGCCTTATGCCTGGAGCCTGAGCCAGACGTGGCTGTCGCTCTGTTCTTTGTTTACAGAGATGATTGTGTATCAGTTTCCAATCTATTTTGCTATAATGTAATCTAATTTTGAACACATTTAGCGTTGAAGAAATGCTGTCATGTGTGATAGCTAAGTTTAACTAAAGTGAGGATTTCATTGGAGGCTGAGGGCATGGTTGTTAGCGCCAGTGTATTTTGGACAGATCGGTAATGGAGAAAATGTCCGGATCTAATGGGGGCATGATGAGGCCGGGATCATCTACCCTGCCAACTGTAATGACAGATAATAGAATTATGCTGCCTTGACACTTCACTGATACGGTCAAGGTGACTGGCTCACAGCATTGTAGAAGCAATGTGGTCATGGCAATAGTTGTTATGGTAACGCTTACCACACTTGACAAATCCGTTTTCATAGTTAAAAAAGAATGGATCATGCACTTAGTTGAAATGTTAAGATGTTTATCAGGAAAACTATGACACATCACACATGGGGTTGGCAAAGTATGCATTCGTATTCGAGAGCAAGTTTCGTATCCACACATTGACAACGACCAGCATTGGTTGCTATGTAACACAGAATCCTTACAGGGTCAAAATGAAGGTAAAGAACAACAGATAAATAGCAACGGAAAGAAGAAACAAGCCACTCTTTCCACTACTGTTACCCAGGGAGCGTGGACTGAGATAGGGAGGACTCACTGTCATCTTGTCCCTTGGGCTCACGTTACCTCATGGGTTTCACCGAAGTGATAAACGTCTATGACCTGTTGCTTAAGGCTATCCGCCCATATTCACCTGACATGCTGTTATAACTAACAAAATAATCTTCCAAGTGGCTTTCAACTAACTCTCATACTTCTTTGTACTACCTGTCCAAACTCAGAACTTTTAATTTGCCATGTTATATACTACTCAAAAGAAGTAAAGGGACACCTGACTGCCATTATAGAATAACTGTAGTCATATGAACAAATTGTGTTTTCTTTAACTTCTTTTGAGCAGCATATTACTGTGAACAATTTCAATGCATCAATAGTTGATCAGGCATTAGTTGGTCAATCATTATTCATAAATGGAAATAACCAATATGTCTTTTCAAAGTAGAGCTATGTCCTGTCCAGTTCCAAATTCGCTTCAGTTCTATCAAATCTACAGGTCGGATATCTGCCCAAGGCAAGGGAGTTAAATGATCAAAGAAGTCCAGTGTCCATCCTTGACGAACTAAGCTAGAATTTCTTAGTTATATTTTCACTTGCCTAATGAGCATAATCAATCAAAGTCGTGTAATGAAATCGCCATCCAGTTAGTAAAGCACATAGTGACTGCCGTGAAGATTTCAGTCAATTGCAGGATTTGCACACTCTTGGAGTTGACGTGTTGGCGTTGTCATCCCCAGGTCTCTCTCTGCTTCACTGGAATACCCTCCAGTCTCAGGACCGCGACGTCATCCGGGGCTCTCTGCTCTCCAGCGTCATCTATTTCTCTCTACAAACCATCGGTAAGTCTCCGCTGGCTCCTCGCCTTTCACAGCCAGGCAGAAAACTTTCTTATGACATACGATTACATAAGATAATTGCATACCTTTCATCAATAATTTTTGCGAATTCTATCTTGGAATGCACGTTTATTTTGAATCTTCTGTTGCACATAATGAAAACTTTCTTCTGCCTTTTTTGCCATGTTAGTGCACAGGGGGCCATGTTTTTAGTTATTGTGAGGCAACCTTAGGATCAGGATGCAGTTACTATTGAAATACATCACTTGGTCGGGATATATATCAATATATTCTAGATATTTATATTTTAATTCTTGTTGATGTAGCTGTTGAGAAGGATCCACGTGAGCTCCATGGGAGTACTATGTGAGGTCCATGGGAGATCTATGTGAGTTCCATATGAGCTCCATGGGAGATCCATGGGAGATCCATTGAAGATCTATGTGAGTTCCCTGGGAGATCTATGGGAGATCTATGTGAGTTCTATGTGAGCTCCATGGGAGATCTATGTGAGTTCTATGTGAGCTCCATGGGAGATCTATGTGAGCTCCATGTGAGATCTATGTGAGCTCCATGGGAGATCTATGTGAGTTCCATGTGAGATCTATGTGAGCTCCATGGGAGATCTATGTGAGTTCTATGTGAGTTCCATGGGAGATCTATGTGAGTTCCATGGGAGAACTATGTGAGCTCCATGGGAGATCTATGTGAGTTCCATGTGAGTTCTATGTGAGCTCCATGGGAGATCTATGTGAGTTCTATGTGAGTTCCATGGGAGATCTATGTGAGTTCCATGGGAGATCTATGTGAGATCCATGTGAGATCTATGTGAGCTCCATGGGAGATCTATGTGAGTTCTATGTGAGTTCCATGGGAGATCTATGTGAGTTCCATGGGAGATCTATGTGAGCTCCATGGGAGATCTATGTGAGTTCCATGGGAGATCTATGTGAGCTCCATGGGAGATCTATGTGAGCTCCATGGGAGATCTATGTGAGTTCCATGGGAGATCTATGTGAGTTCCATGGGGGATCTATGTGAGCTCCATGGGAGATCTATGTGAGTTCCATGGGAGATCTATGTGAGTTCCATGTGAGTTCTATGTGAGCTCCATGGGAGATCTATGTGAGTTCTATGTGAGTTCCATGGGAGATCTATGTGAGTTCCATGGGAGATCTATGTGAGATCCATGTGAGATCTATGTGAGCTCCATGGGAGATCTATGTGAGTTCTATGTGAGTTCCATGGGAGATCTATGTGAGTTCCATGGGAGATCTATGTGAGCTCCATGGGAGATCTATGTGAGTTCCATGGGAGATCTATGTGAGCTCCATGGGAGATCTATGTGAGCTCCATGGGAGATCTATGTGAGTTCCATGGGAGATCTATGTGAGTTCCATGGGAGATCTATGTGAGCTCCATGGGAGATCTATGTGAGTTCCATGGGAGATCTATGTGAGCTCCATGGGAGATCTATGTGAGTTCCATGTGAGTTCTATGTGAGTTCCATGGGAGATCTATGTGAGCTCCATGGGAGATCTATGTGAGCTCCATGGGAGATCTATGTGAGTTCCATGGGAGATCTATGTGAGTTCCATGTGAGTTCTATGGGAGATCCATGTGAGTTCCATGGGAGATCTATGTGAGTTCCATGGGAGATCTATGTGAGCTCCATGGGAGATCTATGTGAGTTCCATGTGAGTTCTATGTGAGTTCCATGGGAGATCTATGTGAGCTCCATGGGAGATCTATGTGAGCTCCATGGGAGATCTATGTGAGTTCCATGGGAGATCTATGTGAGTTCCATGGGAGATCTATGTGAGTTCCATGGGAGATCTATGTGAGCTCCATGGGAGATCTATGTGAGTTCCATGGGAGATCTTTGTGAGTTCCATGGGAGATCTATGTGAGTTCCATGGGAGATCTATGTGAGTTCTATGTGAGCTCCATGGGAGATCTATGTGAGTTCTATGTGAGTTCTATGGGAGCTCCATGTGAGTTCCATGGGAGAACTATGTGAGCTCCATGGGAGATCTATGTGAGTTCCATGTGAGTTCTATGTGAGCTCCATGGGAGATCTATGTGAGTTCTATGTGAGTTCCATGGGAGATCTATGTGAGTTCCATGGGAGATCTATGTGAGATCCATGTGAGATCTATGTGAGCTCCATGGGAGATCTATGTGAGTTCTATGTGAGTTCCATGTGAGTTCTATGTGAGTTCCATGGGAGATCTATGTGAGCTCCATGGGAGATCTATGTGAGTTCCATGTGAGTTCTATGGGAGCTCCATGTGAGTTCCATGGGAGATCTATGTGAGTTCCATGGGAGATCTATGTGAGCTCCATGGGAGATCTATGTGAGTTCCATGGGAGATCTATGTGAGTTCCATGTGAGTTCTATGTGAGTTCCATGGGAGATCTATGTGAGCTCCATGGGAGATCTATGTGAGTTCCATGTGAGTTCTATGTGAGTTCCATGGGAGATCTATGTGAGTTCCATGGGAGATCTATGTGAGTTCCATGTGAGTTCTATGTGAGTTCCATGGGAGATCTATGTGAGCTCCATGTGAGTTCTATGTGAGTTCCATGGGAGATCTATGTGAGTTCTATGGGAGCTCCATGTGAGTTCCATGGGAGATCTATGTGAGCTCCATGGGAGATCTATGTGAGTTCCATGTGAGTTCTATGGGAGATCCATGTGAGTTCCATGGGAGATCTATGTGAGTTCTATGGGAGATCTATGTGAGTTCTATGGGAGATCCATGTGAGCTCCATGGGAGATCTATGTGAGTTCCATGTGAGTTCTATGTGAGTTCCATGGGAGATCTATGTGAGCTCCATGGGAGATCTATGTGAGCTCCATGGGAGATCTATGTGAGTTCCATGTGAGTTCTATGGGAGCTCCATGTGAGTTCTATGTGAGATCTATGTGAGTTCCATGTGAGCTCCATGGGAGTTCCATGGGAGATCTATGGGAGATCTATGTGAGTTCCATGTGAGCTCCATGGGAGTTCCATGGGAGATCTATGGGAGCTCCATGTGAGTTCCATGGGAGATCTATATGAGTTCCATGTGAGTTCTATGGGAGATCCATGTGAGCTCCATGAGAGCTCCATGAGAGCTCCGTGTGAGATCCATGTGACTTCTACGTGAGCTCCACAAAGGTTCTACGGGAGTTCTACGTGAGTGCCATGGGAGCGCCATATGAGTTCCATTGGAGATCTATGTGAGTTCCACGTGAGCTCCATGGGAGATTCATGTGAGCTCCATTGGAGATCCATGGGAATTCCTTGTGAGTCCAATGTGAGTTTAACATGAGCTCCATGGGAGCTCCATTGGAGACTCTATATAGGATAAGGTGGCCCCCCTCCCCCTCCCTGTGTTACTACCCCCTGCATGACCCCCTGTAGGTGCATCCCATCACAGTACAGGTGACTAGTCTCTGTTTTATGTCCTCTGTGTTATTACGTCCATTAGTCTGGCCGTAGGTTATGAATGAAATGATGTCACTTCCTGTTGTCCTGGAGACGCCTAGTTGATGTGTTAGGCTTCCTGTATGTAGGACACGGCAGACTGATGTTGAGTAGTCACATGGAGGTAATATCCAGCTTTCCTGAGATAAGTACTTCAACCTTCATTTGGCCTTATATTTTTTATTGTGTTTGTAGAATATTTGGCCCAGAATTCAATGTAGGCAGTCCAAAAAAATTTGAAAATTGTACTTCCAACTTGTCCAAAAAGTAACTATTACTGAAGATTATTGTTTTGAGGACGTTAGGGCTGGCTAAAAAGATTGATAATCGGAATTATCGTCAAGGGAAAGAAATATTAATGAAATTATCATCGATAATAACTAACATAAAGTTTGTGATTAAATAAAGTTTAGATTTACCGAAACAGACTTGTTATTGACAACAATGTCAATTGTCGAAGACGGAAAGCAACTGTTTTTATTACATCTCAAATGTCCACAAAGTAATCCATGTATAAACGTGTCACTGCTCACAAGTGGCATGAAATATGTTGATATTTTTCGGGACTTTCTTGCATATTTGCTCAAAGTTACTTCTTTGAAATTTATTGATAAATGATCGATATTTAGTTAGCACTTATCGATCTCTGTGATCTATATCGAAAGCCAGCCCTCGAGGACATCGAGTTCAGTGACGGTGGTCTCAGTAGTGATCATATCATATCATCTTTGTATACACACACAAATATTTGGATCAAATGTTGAGAACATCACCCGGGGTGTGTATACGTTGATCACTGACTCGGACGTTGACTTTAAGTGGTAGGAGTTCCTCCTCCAAATAAAAGACATCACTTACACGTTTACATAACTGTTAAACAGAGTTGACATTTTGTCAAAACTATTTTCCAAGTCTCATTTTTTATACTGGTCATTTTTGTAAACCAGCTATCGTAATAAGAAATGAAAGGCCTTATGATCGTAATCTAATGCCCAGTTATCTCCCTTTTTCAGTCCCTTCTCATATTTCAGCCTTCTCTCTGTGGCACTGTTGGTGTGCACTCAAGTCCTGCGGTTAAACAGATCATTGTCCATGTTTGATTTTCCACAACATTGGTTTTGCCTTCCTGAAATCAGCTGTTAGACGTCCTCTGTAATCATAGATATCGGATAAGGTCAGACTTATCATAAGTTGATTTACAGATTCCGACAACCCTAAAAATGAAAACAAGAAGACGAAAAATCTGAAGAACAGTTTGTTATCTTCTGCTGAGGGGGAAAGGGTGGCCCAGTCGTCTAAGGCGCTGTGATTCGCTGTGCAGTGTTGCGTCCCTTGGGCACGCCAGAAACCTATGATTGTGGGTTTGAATCCCGGTTCGCCCCGATTATGTTTCTAGGTTTGTCAGCACCATACCCATGCTCGTGGGTTTCACCGGAGTGGTAAACGTCTGAGACCTGCATCACTTTGGGCTTTCCTCCCACATTAAGCTGACACGCCGCAATATAACTGTAATACTGTTAAAAGCAGCGT